ATTGATTTAATTTTTAACTAATTTAAGCGCTTAATTCAACTGCCATATTTCAATTAGTTTGATTTGTTTGCAAGCAAAGTTATCAGCAGCATTTACAAGCAGTGTTGTCAGCAGCATTTACAGCGGGGTTAAAAGTTGATTAGTGTATTGTAAAAAACCAAAAAAAAACAAAAAAAAATGGTATAAACTATTGTATAAAACGTTTTGAATTGCAATTAGCTACATATTTAAACATGATATTGAGCATATACTCTATTTAAACCAAATAGCTATATTACGTTATGTTCTGTTAGTTGAGGTTATGTCTAGTCCTAAAATATATATGGTATATATATATACATATATTGTATCTATGCTATATCTACAAAACACACTCTCGATTGCCTTTCAAAATGATAACCAATACATAACATGATGAACTTTATTCGTAACTTGTTATTGCATACAAAAAAAAACTATACATAATATGCATCTATAGGCCCTAAAACTATTTAAAAAAAAAAAAGAAAAGAAACCCGAATCAATTAACCGAAAAAAAAAAATCCTCTGCTAAATGCTTGCCTAAGCCCGAAATTGAAATTCTTTTCAGTTTTCGCAAGTGTTTAGCTGAGACCTTAAAGACATATTTACATATGTGCAGCTATTGTTGGGTTGATTATGAATTATAAAAAAAAAGCTATATATATATTTAGTAAATACTACAAATTTCTTTAGCAAAATGTTAAATAGAGGCAAAACAAAACAAAAGAAAAACTATTTCTGTTTATCTTGAGTATGGGCTACGCACTTCTTATAGAGCCAAACACACACACACACACACACACACACACACACTTGCATACATATAATGCTCATATACGCGTATTTGTTTAACTCGTTAAAGCGTTCATGAATTTAACTAAGCAGTAAAAGAAATATAAAACAAACAAAAAAAAGAAATTAAAAATAAAAATAAATAGCAAAAATTGATATATGTACGCATCAATGTTGCCAACTCAGCTATTTTCTACACAAAATTTAGCTATTTTCAAGCTGATTCGGCTACTTTTTGGCAACTCAACGGCTCAGCAAGCTAATTCAGCTATTTTAATCAATTCTCAACACTGGATTTAGTTACTTTTTCTTAAGCGACAGTTGGCAACACTGGTGCGCATTAGCTAACAAACTCACACACACACACACACACACACACACACACACACACACACACACACACACACACACACTACACACACACATACACACACACACACACACTTTAAATGCGAAATGATGACCATCGATATACATATTTACCTACATACTAACATACAGACATATGCATACATATACATACATATATATATACATTACAGAATATGTAAGCTATGCCACGCATGGAACTTGAACTCCTTGTCGGAAATTCTTGTACACATACAAACATAAATACATGCATAAATACATACTAACAACAAATATATATACATACATATATATAGAGAAAATTGAAAATGCAAAACATAAAAGAAAAATAACATTTAACATATTAAACTATATCAGTTTCAAATGAAATAAGATTATGAAATTAAAAACAAAAAAAAAAACAAAAAAAATTAAAACATATTTGGTGAAATAAATGTATAAACGGAATTTCAAAAAACAAAAATATATTTGAGCATTACGTGTACAATTATTTGGTGGCGGCTTCTCGAAGGGAATTCCAGAGATTTTGATTCAAATTTTCATGTGATTTGGATAAAAAATAATTAAAATTATTTAACAATTTTTTTTGCTTAAAAAGTTCATGATTTTTCCTAACGAAATAAAAAGTTCTCTACAAATTAAATAAATAAATTTAATTAAATTCCTCATTTAAATTATCTGAAATCTGTAAAAATAAAAATTTTATGAATTTTAGAATATTTAGAAAAAATTGAAGTCAAATAAAATGAGACTCAAAAATCAAATAATGAAAATCTCTGGAAAACCGCGTTTATTTTTAATTTTTAAATAAATACAATTTATTGTTTGTTTTGGTTTTCGATTCTCTAGATATTCGTCTTCTGTACTTACGCAGTGCCCCGGACTGAAATCGAAAAAGCGCCGACCGCAAGCGGCAGCAACAAATCGAATCAGATCGCGCGACGTCCACTGCAGCGACTCTGGCAGCACTGGCGCCAGCACGGGCCCGCGCCCAGCGTTGCCATACCGGACGAACGACTGCGCGGCAAGGTGCAATCGGTGCACATATCGAAGCGCAGCAATGGCCAATTGATGGGCTGCGCCTACGTCACGTTCGAGTGCAATGAGATTATGGCCAGGGCCATGCTGCAGGAGGACCAGGATAATCGCCTACTCGGCCGTGACGTCATCCTGGACTGGCAGCTGCCCAAGAAGCGCAGCACCCAATGGCGCTGCTGGTGCTGACCTCCATATTGTATATACTATATATACATTTGATCTGATTTGTAGTTTGCTTTGATTTTCGTTCGATTTTTATTTTTAGTAAAATTCTCTTAGACAATATTTAAAATCAGTTTAACAGTTTACAAGTTTTTTCTTTTTTTTTTTTTTTTGTGTGTTTTGCTAAATAATTTGGTGAGTTTTATTTTTTTGTAATTATTTTGTTTCATTTTCCGTTATATTTAGGTCAAGTTATTTATTCAAATATGCACAGCTTAAGGCCTACAGCATGAAAATTGCAAATTAATTCAATTTTCTTCTACTTTATTTTCTATTTTTAGCAAATTTCATTTATGAGCTGACGCTTTTTATATAAAGTGTTCATAATTCATTTATCATGCGATTTATCGTGCATAATTCTTAGTTTATATAGAAAACGCGCTCATAGTTAACACAGCTCTGATTTTATTTTTTTTTAACTTTTTTTTTGCATCGATTTTTCTTTACTTTTTTGGTGAAATGACAATTTACAAGAAATGCAATTTCTTGTAGCTGTTTATTGTCTTTCGTTGAAATAATAAAAAAAAATATCTTCGTTAACTAAACACAGTTGTTTTTTTTTATAGTTAGTTAGTAGCTGACTATATAATTGGTATTATGCCCGATTTAATTTCAGCTTTAATGTGCATATTACGAAGGCAATTTGTTGGATATATTCACATAAAGAATCACTCAAGACAAATAAGAAGTTACAATTTTCTACCAAGCATGTGAATTTTACATTTATTTTGAGGTTATGCTTTGCAATTTTTTGAGGTTAGGAAAAAGAAAATGGCTTCCGGTCCGATATTTCGACTACATATTGAACATATTGAACTGTCTTTAACATTTATTTGCAATTTTCTTGGGGCTGCCGCGTTCTACGTTCGTACAGTCAAAATTCACGCGTACTTAGACGATAAGATTTACACTCGTGCTGCACATTTCTCATTAGTTTTGTGGCTCGTAAATGTTTACAAAAATAATTTATAAATTACACAACTCTCGCTAAATAGCTATACATTAGTTATAGTATATATGTATGTATATGCCTATATAGTTATTTACTAGATTAGTTTTGCTTAAAAATAGATTTCTTTTAATATTAAACGTAGCTTTACGACTTCAAGCGGCTAGTTTCCGGTTCACTTTTTACACGCTGACTAACTGTATCGTTAGCTAGTTAGTTAAGTACGACTAAAATTGAACTAAATACTGCAGCAACACAGTTTTATAATTATCATCATAATATTATAAATTTGTCTAAACTAAAAGCAAAAACAATTCACGCACACACAACTAACTAAGTGTTAGGACTTAATCTGAACTTTGGCTAAATTGTTAATCGATAACACAATTGTTTCTGGAACACATTAGCATTAGGCTAGCTTTAAATACAGTAAATACAAATATAAATAGATTAGTTTAACAATTTGATGAAGCAAAATTCTGTTGAACTTATAATTTGTGTGTTAGACGTACGTACAATCGTTTTTTTTCTCTTTCTTTTCTTAAATATCCCTGCAGATCCTAACTATCCAACTATTTAACGGACTGTGTGAACTGTGTTTGCTGTGAAGCTAACTTGCTGAAACTTGGTATGGAAGAAACTTGGCCAGATCGGAAGACGATATCATATAGCTACTATAGGTCGAATAGGTTAAAAGTAAAGTTCTTGAATGGGAATCTTTTAATTTGAAAGATATACTCAACAAACTGTATGTGTTTGTTGTTTACCAGTCTCCTAACTTCTGGGTTAAGTCCTATTATCATCGGATACCACATAGCTAGGAATAATAGGAATACTATATCATATAGCTGCTATAGGTAGAATAGGTTAAAAGTAAAGTTCTTGAATGGGAAACTTTTTATTTGAAAGATATACTCAACAAACTGTATGTGTTTGTTGTTTACCAGTCTCCTAACTTCTGGGTTAAGTTCTATTATCATCGGATACCACATAGCTAGGAATAATAGGAATACTATATCATATAGCTGCTATAGGTAGAATAGGTTGGGAAACTTTTTATTTGCAAGATATACTCAACAAACTTTTCATAAACGATGTTTACCTAACTTCTCGGTTAAGTCCTATTAACATCGGATACCATCTAGCTAGAAGTAATAGGAATTATCTCTCGAAAAATTGAGTTCATCTATGAAAATCTCTTCTATTTTCCAAAACAGCTTGAATGTTGTTAAAAAATGTATCATGCTTCTAATATCATCGGACTAGTATATCATATAGGTAGGAATAATGGGAAAAATTGCTCGAAGAATGGAGTTCTAGGATGAAAATTTCTTCTGTTTTCAAAAATATCTTATATTGGGCTCATTCTTAACTACATCGGACTATTATATCATACAGATCTTATAGAAATAATCCTTAAATTTTTTAATCATTAAAATATATCTGCAAGGTTATTTTATCCTCGGCGTGCCGCAGGGTTCCATTCTCTTTTGTTATATACAATTTATGTTATAGGTTAATTATAATATAAAGCTTTCTCATTTTTTGTTTTAAGCCATTTTGAAAATGTTCCTATATACATATACATAATATATATGTCAAGTATATTCACGGATAGATGGGTAATCGTTGCCGATCTCAGTAGAACATTTCGTATTGGAAAGGACGCCTGGACCTGGCACGAGTCCGCCAGCGGCTCGACCCTCAAATGATGCTCTCGTCGTTGTTGCGCGTCAGGCGAATCGTCGTCGTCGTCGTCGTCGTGGCGGGGCTTGGAGCTGGTGCGGCTCCAGCTGCTGCTGCGCCATGGCGTCTGCCCAGCTCGTGTGGGCGTGGCGTTGCGGGCGTGGTGAACGTGGTCACAACAATATTCTCATCGTCATACAAATCAAAATCCTCGCCCTCATCATCATCCTCATCCTCCTCCTCCTCCTCCGTCTCGGTATCGCTATCCTCGTAGTCCAGCAATGCGCTCGTCACCTGATTTCTGCCACCTGCCACGCCCACAGCCGAACCGCCCACCGCGCCGGCGTTCATGTGCCGGATCTGGGCGCGCGGCGTCGTCGTCGTCGTCGTCAGCCCGAGACGCGGCAACAAGGGTTCACGTCCGGCATGCATTACTTTCGCGGAGGCCGAAGCGGAAGCGGCGGCGGTGCTAGCCAGCGGCACCGCGTCCCAATCATCGCCGTCGCCGGGCTCGCAGAGGGACTTGGAGTGGCCGTGCTGGTAGGTGGACTCCTCGGGTATTGTGTCGCTGTGAGTGTGTGTGTGTGTCGTTTGCAATGGATGTGAAGAGAAGGCGAAGAAAGTAAATGTCAATTGTGCGTTCAATTTTGGATTGAGGTGAATGCGAACTATGATCTCATGGTCTACATTGAGGCAAGTACAACTAACATAATTAATTAACTTTCGAGGGGAAAGGGGCCTCCATCAAAATGGAACTAACAATGTGTTACTTCAATACGAATAAAAGAACTTTAACATTTAGTTAAAATAGACAACTTCTTACGATTATTATAGAAAATACCAGAAAGGTAAATAAAGCAAAGTAAGAATAACAAATATTATTTCATTTAATAATAAAAAGCGTAAGCATTAAGCGAAAGATTTTAAAGCTTTGTTTTGAAAGTGAGCAGAAAACACGAAAAAGCAATTCTACGACACAGTTTCCCATTTTCTCCAAAAAATAAGTTTAAGCACAGATAATACTTAAAGTAAGCACAAAAATTACTTAAAATAACTGCCAAGTTTTTTTTTTAGCTTGTTTTTTGGTTAGTTTTTATTTAAAAGAGTTTCAAGTGCAACTGACTTTGCTGTTCTACAATAAGAATAAATTAAGCAATTCTTTCGACCAGGGATGCAAGCTCAAATTAAATTACAAGTGGTTCAGTTCACGACTCGAACCAGCTCACCTCCCACAGTTTCGGTTCGTGAACCCGCTTTTGGTTTTAAGCTTGGATTCTCTTATTTCTTCCATATTTTAATGTAACTATTTTCTGTTAATATTTGGTTTTGTTTTTAGCTTTGGTTCTTAGTAAACCATGAATTTTAGTTCCGGACTTGAACCAGCTCACCTCCCACTGGTTCGGTTCGTGAATCGGGTTTGGCTTCTCCTATTTCTTCAATATTTGAAGGAAACTATTTTCTGTTAATTTTTGGTTTTGTTAGATTCGAATCCTAGTGAAATATAAATTTTAGTTCCGGGTTTGAACCAGCTCACCTCCCACAGGTTCGTTTTCTGAACTGAGCTTGGGTTCAGAGCTTGGCTTCTCCTATTTCTTCTATATTTAAATGTAACTATTTTCTGTTTATTTATTTTTAGCTTCGATTCTCAGTGCAGTTCACGGATTGAACCAGTTCACCTCCCACAGGTTCGGTTCGTGAACCGGACGGAGCTTGGTTTTTGCTATCGCTTCCATATTTTAAATAAACTATTTTATATAAATTTTGTTGATTTTGTTTTTAGCTTCGGCTCTTAATAAAATATAAATTTTAGTTCCGGACGCGAACCGGTTCAGCTCAAAACCTGTTTGCAGCCTTGCTGTTCTATCATTCAATTTCTATTTCAATTTTCTATCTCAATTTCGATTGACTTGACTCAAGTGTTTCGCTTGGAAGAAAAGAAGCAATCAAAGGCATTTCGCCAGGGAGATACATTTGCGATACGATACTACGATACTAAAGTTTCCTCAACCGAAAGTAAGCTGAACCAATACCAAATTCTGTCTAAGGACATACAACTCTTAACTTTTTTATATCGTCAAACTATCGTCATGTTATCTTCCAGACGATAGAAACACGAAACAAACCTAAATATTTGCAGACGGAATACCCGTCTGTTTATCTTCTTTCTGCTTTCTGCTGTGAACAAAGCCAGCTTGTCAGTTGCAGGAGTACCCCTAATATTGCACGCATAATAGTTACATTCGAGGGGTGTTTAGCACAGTCATGAACTGCTTGATAATCATATAAAGCGAGCCAAAATACTTACACATATTTATGAATATATAAGTATATATATTTATGAGCCAAAAGCCAACATATACTAGTCTTTTATAACAGCTCGACTACTGTTAAATATTCTGTGTATATAATTTGTATATTATTTATGTGTGGTGTGTGTTTACTAAGTGATTGATGCGTTTGTCTGTGGACTATACAGCTACACGGACTCAATGGAAACGGCGCTAAAAATATAATCAAAATTATAAACAAAGAAAAATATTGTTACCCAAAAAAGAAAGCATTTAACAATTTTGATAATATAAGCAGATGTGCAAATTGTTTAGTAGAACGCTTAATGTTCATGTTAAGTACATGTTAAAGTACATGGTAAACGTTAAAAATTGCATTGCGCTTAGTTAAATGTGTGTGAGGCGTTTAGTAAAGGTAACAAAACTGAAAAACAGGCATCTTTCAAAAATTTGATGTCCATGTTAAGTACATGTTAAAGTACGCGGTAAATATTAGGAAATGGTATTGTATAATATGTTGTTGTGGCGTTTAGTATAGATAACAAAGCTGAAAACCAAGCTTCTTTTAAAGACAGGTAAGTTAAACATTTATTGTTCATGTTAAGTACATGTTAAAGTACATGGTAATTATTAAGAAATGGCATCGTATGTTGTTGTGGCGTTTAGTAACAAAGCCGAAAGCCAAGCTTCTTTTAAAAACTGATAAGTTCAAAATTTAAGGTTAATGTTAAAGTACATGATAAATATTAAAAAATTGCATGGCATTTCGTTAAATGTTCTTGTGGCGTTTAGTATAGGTAACAACACAGACTACTTTTCAATGTTAAAGACATATTTATATAAATTAGTAAAGAAAATTATTTAAAGTCAAATCAGGATAAAAAGTTGCACCAATTTATATACTTCCTGCCTAGGCATACGGACAATTGGTAAACTATGAGACCTATATCTGAATAATATACTTTATGAGTGCGAAATGAATTGATGCCAATTGCCAGAGACGTTGAAGGTTGCAAGATAGAACTAGGTATATCGGTATTATATAGGATTTATATATATATAGATAGACTAAACTGATTTCGATTCACAGAACTTTACGAATGATATGCATGAACTGATCTTGTACTATATACAAATGATACAGTCAAGGATCATAAGTTATAGTGTTTGTTTTTTTGTCTGATTGACGATATACGATTAGTTGAAATTCGACATTGGCCGGCTTTAGTTGCTGTTTTTTATTCTGTTTTGGTTTTCATAATGGGGCACTCGGATTACTTGGAATAGTACGTAGCTCCGCTACTCTCCGATGTCGGGGAGCTGTAGTTAGTTGCTGTTGACGAGTTGCTCGGCGAATTATGCGTTGCTGTTGTTGTTGTTGTTGTTGCTGTTGTTGTTATTATTATTGGTTTGATATTGGCAGCAGTTGTTGCTGTTGTTGTTGTGGCTGTTGTTGTTGTCGTGTTCTCTAGCAAATTACTAGCTCCCGGACTACAGAGCAAAACTCGACTGGGTCTGCGTCCAGTTGCTATGAGCCTGAGCAATTCGTAGATGCGTCGAGCATTTGGTTTTTTTGTTTTGTTTTGTTTTTGGAAATCGAATTGAGAGCACACAATTAAAGTTGAGTATTATAAATGAAATTATGGCAAGAGGTACGCATAAGTAGGAAAATGCATAAACAATCAATTGCAATGCTTTGGCTTTGACTAAAAGTGTTCAAAATCAATTGAAACTGAAAAGCAGTTGCCAAATATGCTGCAATTTATCATAATTTGGGCGAGGACTTTGTTGAATAAAAAAAAAATCATAAATTTCTGGTACTAAAAAGATTTTTTCTAAAATAAATATATTTATTTATTTTCTTTGTATTTTATTACCTTTTTTTTATAAAAGCTTTTGGGTAGGCAGAAGTTAAGGTTTAACTTTATGCTATTTATTTCATGCGAGGTTTTAATTATTTTTTTTTAGTAGGTTTAGTTTTAAAAAAACAAAAAAGAGGTTCATAATACTTTTCTAGCAATTTTTTAGTGTCTGCGCAAGCGTATATTTTAGTGTTAATATGTCAAAAGAACTAGTTCCGAGGAGTACAAATATGTTAATGTTATAAGCTTTATTTTTTTTAAGCTTGTCAAAAGCCAATTGGATTCTATTTAGTAGAGCTGTCTTTTAAAAGCTTCTTAAAAAAATATTATTAAAATATGTCAGCAAAATAAAGTCAGATCTTTGGAAGATATTTCTTTAAGTCTTGTGCGGACCAGGACTATCCATGAGAAAAATATAAAATAATATACAAAAATTGCTGGGGTATTTACAAATTATGGGTTGGTTTTGATGTCCACAAAAGTTGATGCTTTTCTTGAAATATCTCGGGTAAATAAAGTCAGATTTGGGAATGATATACATTTTTAGACTCGTACAGATCTCGACTATCAAATGGCGTTCCAAAAAATCAAACTCTTAATTTTGACAGAATTTGGAAAAAATGTCAATGGGATTACATCACAAATTAGGCTGAAATTGGATCGATGCTGAGATTTTAAATTTATGATTGCATTTCATTCTCTCCAAAAAGATATGTCTTTTATAAATCGTATAATAATTACCCCTATAAGGATTTCAAAAATTATTTCAATTGGAATATCTGGGGTAAATACTTTCAGATTTTCAAATCATATACCTTTTCGGAAAACCCATTAATTATACTCTTTATGATAAATGATTAACAAGCTGCCTGATAAAATAGAGTACAAGCGCAGCTAGGTACAGCTAGGTACATATACCTAGGTACATAGGTATAGGTACACCTATTGGTAGACTTTCACGAATCCAAAAAGACACATCTTTCCAAAATCGAATGATATTTATCCGATAAAACTTTTCAAAAAATGTACTTAATTGGAATATCTGCGATAAAAACCTTTAGATTTTCGAATTAAATACCTTTTCTGAAAACCCATTAATTATACTTGTTATGATAAATATTTAACAAGCTGCCTGATAAAAAAAAAAGAGTGCAAGCAGCGCAGCTGGCCTTATTATATACCTCTAGATAATTGATGATATTTGATATTCGAATGCATGAAAGCTATGGACAGACTTAAAAATAAACAGATCTAGACTGAAACACAAGCACAGAAACGGAATACACAGCCGCATGCAGGGCACATTTTAGCTACAAAGAACAGGACACACACACACACTTAACTGTGCTCGCTGTGTGTGTGCGTGCGTGTGTCTCGGTGTGTGCGCGTGTGTGTGTGTGTGTGTGTGTTGGGGAGGTGTAACAAGGACTTACCCGCTAAGCTCCAGCATTGAGCCGCGTCGCACGTTCCGGCGATGGCTCGCCGTGACCGGAAACGGACCCGTATGTCCGTCCGGGCCAACGAGATGGGCGCCCAACGTGCCGGACGAAATGGACTGCGACCGATTGTCCAGCCGTGGATTGTGCATGGATGTCGATGGCAGCTGAATCAACGGATTGATCACATTCAATGGCGGCACAAGCATCAGATCCTGGCTGGCGCTGGCCGCGTCCACGGCGCCGCTGCTGCCGATGCCGAGGCTGCCGGCCTTCGAGCTGGAACTTTCGCGACGGAACAGACCTATGACGGACTTGGGCGCTTTAGGCTTGTTTATGCCACCTGTGTGTGCGTGTGTGTGTGGGTGGGTGGGTGTGTGTGTGTGTGTGGGCGACAGTTACCAAAGGATAAACAATGCGGCAAAGAGAAGAAAACACAAAGTTCAGGGAAATTAACAAACAAAAATAACACAGAAAAAAAACTACAAGTGGTTTTTACAAATATTCCAAAAATTTTCAATTATTTTCTTTTTTCGTTTTTCTTTTTGGTGCACTTAAGAAACACAAGAGAAAACTATATGGTATATAGATAGATATTTACTTATGTACACATGTAATTTTGACTTATTTACACATGTTCTTCTTTTCGCAGAGTTTCTTAAGGCCAATTTCAAGTATTTAATTCAAAAAGTAGAAGACTTTGTAAACGGAAACGGCAACTGTACATTCAGTGTTGGGAAACGTGCCCGTACTGAGAGCTGTGCCAGTGTTGTTAACGCTCGACAGCTTTTGATCTTACCTAGAAAGGTGGCGCTTGGCGAATTGTAGGCCAGATACTCCTTGTTCGAGGCCCAGGCGGGAAATTCATTCTGCTGCACTGCGTCCGTGGACTCGTCGCCCTGTCGCTTCCATGGCAGCTGCGATTCGGTCGCTGTGGGCGTGGCCACGCGACGTTCGCCATCCGAGTCGCGCGATAAATTGCGATCTTCCTCGGGTATCGGATGCTCGGCCACTGTGTGAGATAAATTGCGAGTGGGAAAGGTGTTAGTAAAGTTGCAAATTTGCTAGCTATTTAATGCATGCATCACGCGTTCAGCTTAAGCTCAGTTATCGATAACTACTAAACATATCGAAGAAATGGTAGGACAAGAACAAAGTGCACTTAACTTAAATGCAAATCAAGTTCCGTTAAAAACAGTGTTCAAAACGAATCGAAATGCCGAGTGGCAAGGCTGCGAACCAGTGTTGAACAGCGACTTCAAAGGAAGCACTCTATGCGAAACCATATTCAAGAACCGGTTCAAGGTTTGAGGCTTGGATAAATGTGGTTCGAAGCCTTGGCAAGTAAAACGTATTATTTTTTTATGTATTTCAAATAATACGTTATTTTCACTTTCGAATCGCATGTGTTTTTCAAAGCTCTTCGACTCATTTTCAGCTATTGAATATTAACTGGCGCCAATCTTTGCACAACGAAATACTTTTATTTTATTTAAAAAATTATTAAGCTAAAAATATGCTTGACAATTGCGAATTATAGAGCTTACATTAAAAAGATGTTCTTAAATTCTAGATATTTCAAAAAGCAAATTAAAAATATATTTATAATATCCACACAATGAGATCCGAAAACACATGCGACATTTGATTCGATTCGTCTTAATTATAATTTTAATAACAATTAACCTGATAAAACAAATACAAACAATAATAATAATTCGATACAATGTTGGGAATGCTAATGGATAAGTTCTGTTGTTGTTGTTCTTGTGTAATCGCGACTTTTAACTTAAGAGATAGTTTATGATTCCGGGATGGCAACAACAAAACACTTTGTCATGCACAAAAATGCCATGCTGCTTTTTGCTTTGTTTGGTTCGCTTGAAATGTTTTTTTTTTTTTCAATTGGTTTCTCATAACAAAGGTGAATTTCAATTGATTTGCGTTTACATTATGGTTTGCTAAATGTACTGAATTTCGGCATTACTTTGTCAGATGATCGCCTTTCCTTATCGTTAATGTATGGAACTACGAGAACTACAAGCTGTTCTGCATGTTTTTTTCAGTTTGTATTGTCTTTAACAAGCAATTCAGCGAGTGTTTTAGTTAAACAGTCGCTAGATAGACATTGATGACAACTATTTATGACAGCTAAGTAACATTGAAGATTATTACAAAATACTTTGGTCCGTTTTATTGTGCTCCAATTAAAGTTGACGACTTTCGTTTTAGTTATGTAAGCTTATCTGGCTGATAAAATTTACCAGGCGGCTTATCCACCTACTAAGCAACGAACATTATGATAGCAACACGGTGTTTTTAGCTGAAACTGATCTAGTTGATAAAATTTACCAGGCGGTTAATTCGCATATTAAATATTTAACATTAAGATAGCAGTACAGTGTTGCCATCTGTAATTAACAAGAAACTTATCTAGCTGATAAAATTTACCAGGCATTTTATTCACTTGTTAAACTTAACTGTAGTGCTGCCATCTACTTTTTAATTTACCAGGCAGCTTATTCTGATTGACATTAAGATAGCAACGCAATGTTGCAAATTGATCTAACCTGTAATATTTACCAGGCAGTTTATTCACCTATTAGATAATTGACATTAAGATAGCACCGAAGTGATGCCATCTGTGTTTTTAATTTACCAGGCAGTTTTGCCTAATTGGCATTAAGATAGCAACGCAATATTGCCATCTTTTAGTTGCATGAAATTTATCTTGCTGATAAATTTTACCAGGCAGCTTGCTCACCAATTTAATAATAGATTTAAAGATAAAGAAACGCAGTGTTGCCATCTGTTATTTGATTTACCAGGCAGCTTTCTCTGATTGACATTAAGATAGCAGCACATCTGTAATGAAACTGTGACTGACATGAACCTTAACGGGAGCTTAATAAAACGGGCCTCATAAACAAGTTGGGAATTACCAAAGAAAATAAATAAATAAAAAGCAACAGAAATAAACTCGGTATAGCTTAAATAGCGAGGCTTCAAATGCTTAGCACAAATTACGATTGTACAATCAAATTCTCTAAGATTATGAGACATTATACGATTGTATGGCTTTTATTTTGATTTAAATACACAGAAATTTACGTGTGTTTGATTTTATTTTGATGTGTGAGCAATGGCGAACGAACGAATGGAGATGGGCTTTTGCGAGTTAAAGAGAGAAGCGCTAAAAGAGATAAGTTTAGGCTAGCAGGCCAGCTGATAAGTGAATTATGCCAGAAATTATCTTAGTCTGGATTTTGCTGACTTCGATATATTTTTATTTGAAGTTTAATTAACTTTGCACTTATTCTTTTGCGCTTCTCTCGCCTGCAATGTAGATGCCAGTATGAAAAATACTGGAAGGCTTTTTAAAAATACATTTTATATAAAAGTATATATCGGAATTTAAGTATTTAACTGGAAGTTTTATATGGAGATATATTTCATTTTTGATATATTTCAAGTTATAAGTTTTGAGTATTGAAAGATTTTGGAATATGTACAAGATATACTGGCAATATTTTGTACATTCGTAACGAGAATTGAAATGAGGAAGTAAACCACTCGAGGGGGATATTTTTGGATGATTCACAGATGTGTATGCATATCAGAGATGTGTATGATGGGAGAATGCGAATGTGAATATACAGAATTTCGTATAGCCAATGCTTCAGTGTGTTTTATTTTCTTTTTTTTTTTGTTTAGATAATTAGGGTTTTTGGTAGTTGTTTGTTTATGTTTTTTTTTGTTTTTGGTTTGATATTGTTTACCAATGCTCTGGTATGAACGATCCCGTCGCCAGGGCAGGATCAGTTCGGCCGCTGTGGGTCCAACTGGCGGATCGGGCGAGTCTAGATCTTGCTGACCGTCATCGAGTTTGGGCGCATAATGCTGAACGATGCGCGCCTTGGATGCATCAAAACCGGGCAGATTTTGAATATGCGCTATCAGGGAGTTATTATTGGCGCGATCCGAGTCAGCTAATTGTGTGTGTGCGAACAGTTTATCGGGGGGCATATCGAGCAACATATATTGGATATGTTAAATCAAATGAAATTGGATAGGCATAAAATAGGGATATAAAAAAAAAACAAATATATAGAAAATGTCGTTATAGCTTTCATTTATTTCTAGGCGCTACCCAAAATTCTTTTAGGCATTTTGCGGAGAAATAAAAAAAAAGAAAACAGAAATCAATGAAATAAACAAAAAGTCTAGCAGAAGCTCTGGCTCAACAGTTGATCTGTTTTTTTTTGTGGGCATTAGAAAATGACAAATTAAATGAGATTTCGTCTAGAAACAACTTTGGCTACTTGATATAACAAATAGCTAATCAATTTTGTACAAAATGTTTACAAATTTTTCTTTACTTTTTATTGTTTTTACTGTACTTTAAGCTGTTGTGTCGGACAGTGTAATCGCGCGCACATTTCTTGTACAGAATCATATGAAATACTTGATGGCATTTTTGTGTAGTCAATTGTTGTAATAAAAGTATAAAAATGGCAAAACACACGAGTCGGTTATCGCTATATAACCACCGATCAGGCATATATATATATATATATCTCTAAAAGGTTGAACTGATAAATGATAAACAAGGAAATCGGATAACACGCATAAGGCAACCAATAGCCCTATTCGTAATATCGTATACATAATTCAGATAAAGTTTACAGTTGTCAGTTAACATATACATAGAAGAAGAACATATAGAACTTACGTGATGATTTTGCGGTAAATGTGAGACCGTCATCCCAATCGTCGCTGGGTCCAATGACATTGATCTCATTCGGATTCTGCGGGCATTCCTCGGCTGTTTCGTTAAGCATATCGTTAATATAGTCTTTGGATGATATATCATCAAATCATATCATATGGCACACAGATAACAGTGTTGTTAAATACAAAATGAGGCAGTGTGGTAAAATGCGTGTTTTCAGTGTTGTTAAATGTGCAGAAATTTTAAAGTTTCAGTTTTTTTTTTTCATACAACCAATTTAGATATGTTTTTTGTTGTTTTTTTTTTTTTTTGTATTCATCGGGTGGGAAAGCGCGTGTTGTAGTAGGAAGATAAAAGAAAGATTTGGGTTTCTCAATTAGTGACCAATTATTTAAATTATGATTAGTAACAAAATGTGTGGGATTATGTGAATGAGGGCTCGTAAAGTTGTAAATGAAAGAGGGAAGAATTTTTTTTTTAAATTTTGGTTGGGTTTATGTTTTACGAGCCCCAACATGCTAATAAGAAACTTAAAATGAATGAAGTGCGGTTTATGAATAGTTATAAACTTATTAGACTTGGGTTAGATTTTTAAAAATTTCAAGAAAATCATAAAGAAAAAACTACTATAAAGCTCAGACTAAACATCTGGGATGCTGTCTATAATGGAACTGAAAAATTTAAGATTTTTGGAATAGCTTTCTACGGAATAAATTGGGAGTAGTTAATTTTAATAAATATTTAATTGCTGTAAATATTCGTTTTTGTTTTTTTTTTTTGCGGCATTTACCTATGTCTAATCTACGATATTTGTTAAGTGAATTGTGAGTATGTCTTTTTCTGTACGATTTTTTGCGTGAATGGTTTGAACTCGAATTCGTAATCGTACCATTGGAGAGCTGCTTGGTGGTGCCGTTCTGTTGGAAATCATGGAACGAGACATGATTCTGTTTAACATTCTCTTTGGGCTCCTAAAATGTGCATATTAATAGATATACATATATTATATATATATAGATCAGCTGTAGATTAGGGGCATTCCCTTACCTTGTTGCTGGCGCCACGTTTGCTGCGCTTGTGATGTTTCCGATCGTTGAACATGCGACGGAAATTCATTTGCATTTTATAATTGACCTTAAATTAAACACACAAAAAAACATATATTTTTTTGAATAGAATATTGTTCTATTTCGCGAGGTCGAGGTCGAGGTGCTCTCAGAGATTTGTCAATGTGTTCGACTCACCTGTGTGGACAAATCTCTGTCATCTACTGCGTGTCGGCTATAACTAAGACGACGGTGCTGTAAGGATAATTACGAAAGCACATTAAATGCCATATCATAAATGGTGTTGTTTTGTTTTTTGTAAATTGATTTGACAAGTAGTACGATTAATTGTAAATTTGCTGCTAACTAGCATAAACAACAATTGATTAGGTGTAAAGAGACGTCTCACAACATTTGTACAGCTTAAATATACAAGACGATTAAATATATATTTAAATTTATATATATTGTTATTACAGGGAGTGCTTGTGGGCACAGCAAATGATGGTGAACTTCGGCCTGGCCGCAGCGAGAATACTCTTTCCAAAAATACAGATTATATAGAATATATATAGAATATATACAATATAACTTTTTACTTTTATTGCTTTTTTAATGATTGATCAAAAATTGAATCAACAAGTAGAGTAATTCAACATTTTTGATGAGTTTGAACCGGCGACTTCTCGCTTGTTGGTTCGACGCGCAAAAAAAACAATAGAATATATAGAATATAACTTTTTACTTATATTGCTTTTTTAATGATTGATCAAAAATTGAATCAACAAGTAGAGTAATTAAACATTTTTGCCGAATTTGAACCGGCGACTTCTCGCTTGCTAGTTCAACGCGCAAAAAAAACTGATGCATTTCGATATGTCGCCCAGAAACTGACTTGTACTTTGAAAAGAGCATATTATTGAAGGGATATAATTTGCAACACAACATTTAGGTATATACATAACATAAATATATATTTTCGTGTTGCTAAACAGTGTGTGCTTTAAAGGATCTAGCAAAAGAAGAAGATTAGTAAAGTTAATTGGTAGAAACAAAATTGAAATAAATGTATAAAGCAGTCCAGAAAAAATGAAAGTTGTGCTCATTTAAAAATGTTATTTGCTGTGCTATAAACGAGTTTAATTGGATGTCAAGTGTTAAACCTTATAGAAACTTCTCTAATATATGTCTAATGGAAGATGAACCTACGATTCGAGAATATATTCAATATCGAAGAATAAATTAAAGCCTACAATTTTTGAAAATTATTTGGAATATTTATAAGTCAAGTCTTGAGTTTTAACATTTATGTCTAGCCTCTAAAAAACTACTTTGAAATACTTTTATACATAGAAAAAGTACCTAAGCAATTATGTTTTATATTTATATTTTTTATAGATTAAACTACTCTATTCAGGAAAATTCACCTATTTATATTTAGATCTTCCTAATAGAAAACATGTTCTGTGCTTGTTTGATGTACAATGAATGGAAATGTTTTGAAAAACTAATAAAAATGAATTTTGAGTTCTGAGTTTTAGTTTTTATCAAATTGAATTTAAGTATACATATGTATATTTATGTGAGAGTTATTAGCCATTTAGAAAAAAGTTGATTATCAATACGATTTGTTTTGTTTTTTTTTTTTTTTATAGACACCAATTAAAATACATTAAGATATTGACTAGAAACTGTTAATTAATTAGTATTATTAATGTTATTAATTATATGCATTACAAAAATGTCTTGCAGTCATTAGTACAGACACACAAAAACGTGTAACATATACAGAAACAAATTTTTATTGATTATTAATTAATTTTTGTTTTAATAAAAGAAAGAATAAAATGAAAATTAATAAAATTCTTAAATCAGTTGAACCAATTTATTCGTACCATTTGTATGGAAGCCTTTCGTTACGAAATATTTAAATATTTTGTACAGTTTCGTAAAATATTTTCAAAGCACACAAAAATTTGAAGTAGTTTTCGAGATATTTTGTATTTTTATTTTTTTTGAGTCGAATACGTGACGTTGACGAGAAGTTAAAGTTGAAGTTGAGTTCGTAACAACGGGAAGAAATCAAAGAAACGATTAATTACAAATATATCTAATTATATAGATATAGTCAGCATATATATGTATATATAGAAAGTAAGAGAGTGAGTAAGAGATATATATATATATAGAGAGAGAGAGAGAGAAGCGTGTCTCAAAACCAAATGCCCAAAAAGGAAACTAAGGTGGAAAGCATAAAATACAAATACGACTACGAGGCGTCAAGTATTTTCGGTGATATGGATAAGAATTTGTGATATACATATATATCATATATAGGGGAAAGGTACTCAAAAACTTGGGCCGTGTGTGTGTGTGTGAGTGTGAGTGAATATGCTATAAGATATATAGTAGTAGTAGTAGTTAAAACTGTCACTGCTATATTATAGAAAACCAAACCAAAATCGATTATTCTGCTTGAAAGTGCTCGACTCGATTCCGAGCTGCATACGTACCCTTCTATATGGCTTTAGTTCTTCGGCTAGCAAATGATGTATCTTGGCATCAGTCAAATCCTTTTTGGATGGATTATAGTCCAGCTCGGCCATGTCCAAGTTGTGGGAGCACGAATTGTCCAGATTTGTCAGGCTGGGACTATTTGAGTGGAGTAGACACAGACACGGAAATTAAGTAAACAAAAAGTTCTTCCTATATATATATATATAGATACTATCGAGGTTTAAACAAAGTTACAGATAAACGAATTTCAGATATGCAAAAGTTCTATAAATATACAAAAATATGTTCGTGTAGAAGAGAGAAGTATTTTTGAGTGTAGAAATTGGGGGCCAATCAGGTAGTTATGTAAACTTTTGTGCTACATTTTGCATGCTTAAAAAAATTACTACAAAATTTCGTTTTAAATTTCTTGCATACATGCATTGTACGGCTATTGTTATCGTTATCGATTATTGATTATCGTTTATCCAAAATTCGTTTACCAGGTGGTGTATATGGTTGGCGGTGCCCACCTGCCACCAATATAATTATTGGTATAATTCCTAAACAATGCACTCATCGACTCGGTGCCCGTCATCTGGCCAATTGTCGAGGGATTACGACGCATCACCTCCATGGCATCCCGCATGGTCAACTTGGAGTAGGTCTCAATAATCTTCGGTTCCGCGCCCTGTAAAGCAGAGAGAGAAGCATTGGAGAGAGAAGAAGGGGGAGAAGTTAAGTATACCAATATTAAAAGTGAGATGGAATTCTGATTCCTACCTTTAGATCTCTGATCAGCAGGGGGCGTATGAAGCGATTGTCGAAACGCTTGAACTTATCACGCACATTGTAGTTGCCCGTCTTGCCCACAATATCCTCAATGCCAGCCATCAAGTGATCCATAAACTAATAAGTTTTAATTGAGAATATCATTGTATAAATTAGCAAGACTGATAACTGCCTGTTAAAGTTCATGTTAATTCATAAGCAGTAAAAAAAACTGACAACTGTTTGTTAAAGTTCATGTTAAATAATTAGCAGTAAAATTTGCACTCCAATTTGTCAGGCATTTGATCATAAAATGCTAAAATGCAATGTCAAGTGGAAACACTGCAAACTTTATCTTCCTTGTAAATATTTAACTTGCAGATTAAGTTAAAAAATTCTTGCAAGTTGTTGTGCATTTTGTCAGCTTATATGTATAGATTCTATTAGCTTTTATCTTCCTTGTAAATATTTAACATGCAGATTAAGTTACAAAATTCTTGTAATTGGCTGTGAATTTTGTCAGCTAAGATCTATATATTCTGTTAGCCTTTATCTTTCTTGTAAATATTTAACATGCAGATTAAGTTTAAAAATTCTTGAAAGTGGCTGCGAATTTTGTCAGCTAAGATCTATATATTCTGTAAGCTTTAGTTTGAGAACTTACACGCTCGTGAATTCGCTCGTTCATGCTGGGCTTCCGCTTGTTGGCTCGCTTCACGTTGAGAATCTTGACAAGTGGCTTTATGGTGATGCCTTGCACAAACACCGTAAAGTAGATCACAGCTATGGTTGTGGTTACATACATATTCTTATGCTTGACCACATTCTCATCGACGAGTAGGACGAGGGCAAAGGCAACCGCGCCACGCAAGCCACCGTACGACATGACAAACTGATCCACTCGCGACAATTTGTGCAGTCGAAAGCGATTGGCAATGGCCGACAGCAGAATGACACCTGTACAGGTTGGACATAAGAACAGTTGTGTTCACTTCAAATGCGAAGTTAGCTCGAATATACCCACCGATAACACGAAATACGGAGCAGAAGGCAATGGTTAAGATCACAAACCACGTATTCCATACGTGCATATTGTTGACTGTGGCCACGCCTAGGAACATAAATATAATCGTCTCCGCCGAACTGGATAACATTTTCAACGCATATTTAACCGTTGTATGCGACTTTTGCGATATATTCGACTCGACATAGTTCTTCATCGTAATGCCGCAGAACGTTATGCTGGGGATAGGCAAATCGGAAAGAAGGTTGGGAAAATATTTGGATAAGATAATGTTGCTATTTGTTGCCATAGATCATACTCACGCCAGAATGCCGCTCATGTGAAAGATTTCAGCATTTAGATATGCCAGATAGGCCATAACAAATATAAATATGGGCTCTATGACACGCACATGATCCGTGAAACGTGTTAGCAGACCCGTCAGGAAGCCCCAAATAATGCCTGTAACATGAAAGTAATATAATATAAATAAAGTAATATATATATAAAATATTTGTGTGCAAACCGAAATTGTTAAATTTAAATACATTTATATAAATGCATAAATACTTATTTATGAAATATCTAACTTAATGCTCTAGAACGGACTCTAATGCTCTTTATTTCACTTTTTTAATTTTACATAATCCTTTAATTTCGGTATGTTTTTGGCTCAAGAGTAGCTTAGTTGCGGAGCGGCTGCATGGCAAACGAAGAGTCCCCGGTTCGATGCCCAGTAAAAATCTTGTTGAATCAACTTTCTTTATCGTTACTTTTTTTTTTTAATCTAAATTTATATAAATTAAAAAAATCTGAACTGACTTTGTAATTAAATATTCACAACACATTTCTGAATGTGTGAGCATAAAGCAATTCTAAGTATAGGAATCTAATATATCTTCCCGAAAAAGCATCTATTATGGACCACATGTACTCGAATATGTCTTTCTTCTTATTTTTTTTTATATATATTAAGCATTTTCGATTTATATAAATGATATATAGAACTCACCTATGGCAGTTCCGCCGAGGGCCACAACAAAAAACGAGCCCACGCCGCTGGCAATGTCCTGTGCCATAATGTTGGGCAATCCAATTTCGTTATAGACCTCCATCATGTGATACATGACAACCTGCAAGCATGCAACAAGCAATCAGTAGTTGCATCCTGATTAACACTCAATAAAGACCCAAGCCGCAGCATTTTGAGATGATTTGATGGGCTTGTGAAACTTCCTGCGAATCACTCAATAAAAGTTGTTGTACTTACCGTGACGGCATCGTTAAGCAGGGACTCGCCAAAGACGACAATGTAGAGGATCTCGTTGACGTGTATTTCCTCGAATACGGCAAGCACAGCGACCGGGTCCACAGCGGATATTAGCGAGGCAAACAGAAAGACGTCCAACAACTTGGGCGTCTCATCGCCAAAGACGCCGCACAGCCCACACGCGTAAAGGGAGCCGCCTGCAATGCAACGGAATCGATGAATCTCAAACTTCTGCTTTTCAAATAATTACGCTGTCAATTGCAGCGGGCTCGTTCACAGTTAATTAAACTGACTTGCTTAAAGGCTTTTTAATTGCACTTGCACAAACGAAGTGTCTTAATTGATTTTGAAGTTTTAAATATGTTCTATAGAGAAAATACTTAAATTCGTTCATTTTTCAGAGTAACGAAAGTTTCGCAATTTTAAAATAAAATCTTGCAAAAATATTAAAAAATTAAACATGAATAAAAAATGATTTGTGATAAAACTATTTCTTGGAATAAAATGGTAGGCTGCAGCTTTGGGATCAGGTTCTTTATACAACTAATCCCGTATATAAAGAATTTTAGTTGCAGACTGGAACAAGTTTATTTTTATTTTTTTTTGAATATGAGTAGTAGTAATAGTAACAGGGTCAATAGTAGTACAATAAGTAGTAGTAATTGCAGTAGTAGTAGAAGTAGAAAAAGTAGTAGTAGCAATAGTAGTAGTAGTTTTGGTAAAAGTAGTAAAAGTAGTAGTATTAATAGTAGTAGTCGTAAAAGTAGTATTTATAGGAGAAGGAAAAGTAGTAGTAGCAATAGGAGTAGTAGTAGTATTAATAATAGTAGTAGCAGTAGTAGAAGTAGAAGTAGTAGTAGAAGTAGAAGTAGTAGTAGTAGTAGAAGTAGTAGTAGTAGTAGTAGTAGTAGTAGTAGTAGTAGTAGTAGTAGTAGTAGTAGTAGTAGTCGAAGTAGAAATAGTAGAAGTTGAAATAGTAGAAGTAGAAGAAGTAATAGTAGCAGAAGTATAAGTAGTAATAGTAGTAGAAGTAGAAGTAAGTAGTAGTAGTAGTAGTAATACTAAGTGTACTGAGTACATTACTAACAGTCATACTGGTAATAAAAGTAGTAAAATAAGTAGTAGTGCTAGTAGTTTAAGTAGTGGTTATAATGTTAGTAGTAGAGGTAATAGCAGACTATAGTAGCAGAAGTAGTAATAGTTGTACTATTAGTAGTAGTAGTGGGAATAGTAGTAGTAGTAATAGTAATAGTAGTAGTAGTAATAGTAGTAGCAAAAGTGAAATTAGTAGTGATAGCAGTAGAAGTAGTGTTTATATTAGTATGAGTAAAAGTAGTAGTAATTGAAGCCAAATTATAATTAGCTCTCTAAATGAAGAGTTCTGAAATGCGAGTGTCTACTGTACTGTAAACTATCCACCTTAACAGACAAAACATTATCTTCCCAGCCAGGGTTTCGATTCGATTGCAACCGCACTTAAATTAAAGCAGAACTTGAAATAATTTACCAGTTCGCCTCTGAAGTCTACTTTCCTATTATTCAAGGCCACATAAAAAAAAACGTAACTCATTTGTAATTATAATAATATTGCTTTGAACTAGAGCTCAGACAATTTGTATGACTTTATACATATATATGCCAATCTAGAAAGTTACATAAATAAGCATATAAATCCCATTCGTTATTAAATCTGGCATTAAGTCGGAAACATTTTTCAGGTCTGAATTTATAATTTCCTAAACAAATATTTAAGCAGATTTGTGCTCCAAAATTGACTTGCCGAACATTTGTCAAACATTAGCTGTAATAAAATCTCTCAGATCTGTAGATATTTTTGGTTTGTTTTTCATAAAAATCACTTTGGATTGTTGTTATTTCGGGCAGATGTGCGCCAACCAAGCGTAATGCATCGTGCCTTCATCATTAGAGGTCCCTCCCGCCCCACTCCCCCTCCCATTCCAGTAGATGTATATCCCCATACATCCACATCAATCGCATGTTGTGTTACATTTTGTATAAATCACGTCTAAGCGGTCATCTACAATTGTCTCCTCCCCCTCGTTTGGCCCCTGCTGCTGCTGCTCCAGGCACATGTTACCCTGCCCTTGGACAACATTGTTTGTTGTTCGCGTGCCACAAAACTGTTGATGTGTGTAACAAGCGCGTCGCCATTGTAATCAGTCCTAAGTAATGCTACATATATTTCCAGTAAATTTGTTTACTTTGTCAGCGTGCGAAAATCGCAATTGAAATGTCGACAGTTCGGCGGGGGGAAAATGCATTAGCATAATATATGACTCGAGCTTAGTAACTATTTTCGAACATTTATTGTGCTTATGAGAATGTAATGTATTTTATGTATGTGAACAAAGACGAATCAGGTTCTAGGTTAGTAAGGTCGTAAAAAGGATTCAATAATACAAAAAATGTATATATATAAAATCCAAGCTCAAATAGCTTAAAGCCTTAATTCATTTGTAATTCCCAAAAGGTTTAAACGTTAGCTGTCTGAAGTAAAGTGGACTGTTCATATTGAAAAAAAAAGGTTCGAATCCGGCTCGGTTGATAATTATTTCTTAGCCATAATAGTAATTGTTTTATAGGGAATTTTTGCTGCATCTGATATCATTATTATTATAGAGAACGTATTAAATGAGAGTTGAGAAAAGTGAGCTGTTTTTATAAAGAAGAAATAATTCGAATTCGGCTAGTCTCAGGATTAAATCAAATATTAATTTCGAAATTTTAAAAAGAAATCTGAACTCTTTAGAGAAGCCCAATAAGATATTCAGTATATTCCATATAAAGAATCCTTTTATAATTCCCAAAAGGTTTAAGCTTGAACTAAAATAATATTGTTGCTGATAAGAAATATTCTGCATGCAAATATTACTCTCAAGCTTCGGCACACAAAACTAGCAGGCTGAGAAAAGTAAAAGAATCCTCTGATAAAGCTTTTTACTTTATTCAAAGGTCTATTGACATTGGGGAAACTGCGCTGTCATTGGGCCACTTGATGGATGAGTGCGAACCACACGAGCATCAAGTTGCGCCCCACTTTGGCTTCTGCTCTTGTTTCGGCCATGTTCCGCTCGTTGACTGCGTGTGCGATGACGCACCATTAAAATAATCAATTTAATGGAATACTTACCAATTGTGGCCACATTGAAAATGGTGCCAATCACGGCCATCAGCAGGATGGTGCCCAGATTATCGAAGAACATGCGATTCGGCATAAAGTAGCCCGCGTCCAGTATTATCGGCGGCAGCATGTAGAAGAAGAACGTGTTCGGGGTGAGCGGCGAGACGGCAACATCTGTGCAGAAATATAGCACTACGCCGATGGCCACGCCCACGACAATAAGGAGGCAGGATTCCGGAAATATCAGATGCAATTTGGGCGTCATGTGAAAACCTGTGAAATGCAAAAATTTAAATTAAGCAAAACAAAAACGACTCACAATAGCCACAAATTTGCATATGTATCTATGTGGGCGTCATGGGGCGTGGCAGACAAATAAATTTACTAAAATTGCACAAAAGGTTGTTGTTTTTCTTCTTTTTATATTTGCCGAGCGCCCATAAAAACCGACACGAGAAAAACAATTTCCATTTCAACAATTGCCCATTTACATGAAAATGTGGATATGCTCTCCGCACCGCCAAACACCCTTCCGCAATGGAGCTGCTCTACGATTATGGCTGACTCTTGTTTTTGGGTCAATGGCTTTGATGGCCAAGTATGGGTATACACAAATAACACTCTATGCTAAGACACGACACTTTAGAAATATATACGATAATGTTCGCTAAATTGTTTTTGAAACTGTGCTGTGAGTCGCGTCGAAAGTTATTAAAGAAGTTTCGGACATAGTAAAAATATTCCAAATAAAAATTATATTAAGTATAAAGTGGAACAAGCAGGATTTTTTGGGCGAAGTTTTAAATTTGCATATATATGTTATGTATGACTATTTGTACCTACATGCATGCATATTTATTTGCTATACCATGCATGCGTACACGTATGAATACGTGCCAGGATACCTACATAAAAGCTCACACACCTACATACTTACGTATGTACATACATACACGTATGAATACATGCCCGGATAGTTACATACAGGCACACACAGCTACATACATACATACACATATATAGATGCATGCATACATATATGTTAGTGTGCATGTCAGCATATACATGCATGCATGTTTCTTTGTATGTATGCAAACATACATACATACACAAATACATACATATATACATACATGCATACATACATACCTGTATACATGCATACATACATACATACATACATACCTACATAGCTACATAGCTACATACCTACATACCTACAAACATACATACATACATACATACATACATACATACATACATACATACATACATACATACTTACAAACATACATACTTACAAACATCATACATACCTACATACATACATACCTACATACATACATACATACATACATACATACATACATACATACATACATACATACATATATACCTACATACATACATACATACATACATACATACATACATACATACATACATACATACATACATACCTACATACATACATACATACATACATACCTACATACATACATACATACATACATACATACATACATACATACATACATACATACATACATACATACATACATATATACATATATACATACCTACCTACCTACATGCATACATACATACATACATACATACATACGTACATACATACTTACATACATCATACATACATACATACATACATATATACATACATACATACCTACCTACATGCATACATGTATTTATACATAAACACATACATACATACATACATACATACAAACCTACATAGATACCTACATGCATACATATATACATATATACTACATACATACATACCTCCTCACCCCTGACTTCATCACCAACACACTTGTCAGGCACTTACCAAAAATGCATCAAAATCTACAGGGCCTACTTGAATTCTTGAGAATCGAGGAGAAGAGCACATGGTAAAATTTCGTTTTATTTAAATTTGCAGCACAGCGATAAATAAGCTTAGACTGCGTTTGGTATTAGAAGCCATACATACATATGTATATACATAAATACATACATACATACATGCATACAGTAACACTCACACACACAGACATTCACGCACACACACACATATATAATACTTATATAAACTCGCACATAATACTTATATTATTATATACTTTGTTCCTATTATAAGATTTGTATAGAATCTATACATTATTTATTGCTAGTATATTTATATATTCCATATATAAATTTATAATAATTGAATATAATAAATATTTAAAAATTCAAAAATTAATAAAGGAAATTAAATACGAATTAAAATTGAATACAAAATCGATGTGGACATAAAACCATGAGCAAAATGGTCTCAATTATGAAAATTAATTGTTAACTATAACAATGGGAGTTAACAGAGGGCACATAATCTATAAAGCTATCAATGCTAGCTAAATGTTTGCTCAGCTGAAAAAGTGGCCCCGATAATTATGTAAGGCGCACACAATTGCAGAGAGAGAAAGAGAGAGAGAGAGAGAGGAGGGGGCTCCTTTGTAATGGGCCAATAAGTGAAGCGGTTGGCCTTCAGCAAATGGATTTTTGTGCAAGCCAAGCCACGAGCCGGCTAAAAGAGCGGGCCAACAAGACAGCAAAGTCAAGAGCAGCAGCAGCTGCTGCTGAGAAAAAATAAGAGAAGAGCAGGTGCCAGTCAAAATTGAGATTGCAGCCAAATCGTTTATGCAATCTGGCAAATTGTTGCTCCCGGGGGTTTGGGCCTTGCTTTCTCGGGGGGGCGGCAGCTGCTGCTTTTTAGGGGGCAGTGTCAAGGCTTTTGGGCTGCGCTTGTTGCGCACTTGGCTGACTCTTATGCAATGTCCTTCAGCTGTAACAGGGCTGCACACACCTAAAACACACACACACACTCACAGACAAGACGCACACCCAGGACGGCAAGTCCACGTTATATAAACATATTGATTTTGGCAGCCTGGCAACCGGCGAACCGGAGACAGCCCACGCAATTAATATGAATGCAGTTATAGTTAAGATATAGTGATATATATATGTACATATATACTAGCGGGTATAGCCCGACCTTGCCCGTAATAAAATAAATGTTCTCAAAAATCTATCAAAATGATTTTGACACAAACAACTTTCATACAAACGATTTCCGCCAAATTACCACTGTTGCGGGTGCAATTTACCAAATCGCTGAAACAGGTATTCCTTAAGTTTCTATGTAGAGCTTTATAAAAAAATAACCTTCAAATACATTTTGACAAAGATCTGTGAAATTGAGTTTGAGGCCGATCGGATGGTAAACATAAAAGTTTCATACAAACGTTTTCGCGATTTTTCCACACTTGCGGGTGGAATTTACCGAAACCCCGTCTTAACGTGCACATTCATCACATATGGAAACTAAAGCAAAAATTTCAACTGTGCATTGATCACCAATCAATCAGTCAGGACAAACCGTTTTATATATAGAGATATATATATAAATATATGTTGGATATACTTACCGATTTTGGCTATGCTCGCCGAAAGTATCCAAATGCCAATTATGAACGGCGTCTTGACCCGCGCAAAGTCCACCTGGGAGAGCGGATAGCGATCCGTGTGATGATGTGCCTCATCCGTCTCATCGTCGAGCGACACATCAAACAGATCCTTCTCAACCTTGGTATCACCTGTCAGCGGTTCAGGTTTGGGCAGAGCTGGAGACGCAGCTGCTGAAGCAGGCGACGACGTCGTTTGTGGCAACTAGTGGAAAGATTTTGGAAGTGGGAACAAGTGGGAACAGTTTTTTAAATTTTAACAATAAATAGCATTCCTTTTTATTTAGCTTGACTCTGACTAAAGAGCCAAGAGATATTATCATCTAGCTATGCATTCCTTTCAGCTAACTTGGTAAATATTTCCAGCTGCAATTATTTTCTAACCTTCTGACTACAGTTCTCTCTTTTGCACTTAATCTTAATATACATTTATCTTGCAACTGTCTGGAACTGCCTCATAGAGTAAACCTGCTCCAATTACAGTCAAAACAAATATTACATATACCTTTTGCCAACTGTCTAAACACTTTGGCTGATGGATGTGCGATATTCAGTCAACAGTTGGCGTCAACTGAAACTTTTGGTAATAACTCATGACAAGCGACATTTCTAACTTTTGTTGAGCTTCGGGCCGGGCCAATTACCATAATTAGAGGCAATTTTTGTGCTGTGTTCGAATCGAAATGGCTAAAACGTTGCAGTTAACGACAGCTGAATGCCAGCCAGTGGGGATTGGGGATTGAGCCTTGACATTTCCTGCGGGCACAAAACCAGTGTTGTCAAGTTTTGAGTTGTCAGCTCTACAATACTTTTCTAATCCAAAATATTTTCTAAGCATTCACTGATCCAACAAAGCCTTTCTGTACCTCATTAAAGAAATAATGAAGCACCTCTTTTGCAGCACTGCTTTTTGAAGTAGTTTGCAAACAACAGTGTTGACAAACGCTGTCATTTTGAACAGCCTAGAAATAAAAGGCTCTAGGTATAGCTATTTATTGATAGATATTCAAAACTAGCTAAAGAAGTAAAGCTTCAAGTTATGCCTGGATTTATTTTTGCATAAGAAAGGGAAATTATGATATAAAGTAAATTGCAAGCAATTTGAATTATAGTGTTGAAAAACGCTGTTGTTTTTAACAGCTTAGGGATGGAAAGCTCAATGGATAGCTGGCACTCATAATTTGTTAAGGAAAAAGCTTTCAGTTAAGCCTGAAATTATTTTACATGCATTTTAGTCAATATAAAAGAAAGAGATTATGATAAAATCAATCGTGAGAAATTTGTTCAATAGTGTTGAAAAACGCGGTAAGCTTCAACAGCTGAAGAATGGAAGGCATAATATGTAACTCATAGCTAGCTAGGAAAAAATTAGCTTTCAGTTTAGCAAGGACGATATGAATTTCAATGCTGGTGTTGAAAAACGCTGCATACTCTAAGAGCTTAGTAAAGGAAAACTAAATACTTGGTTTGGTATTTATAATCCACTAAGAGAGAGAATGCAATTAGTTGAAAAGCACTTTGTAGGGATAAAGAACAATAGTAAATAGCTCGGGCTCGGCTCTTAAATAATACAAATTAAAAAAAAAGAATGCGCTGAACCTAGTGCCGAGCTGCCATTGCAAGCATTCCAGCCATCTTCTATAAATATGTAGTATGTGTATATTATGTACATAAATATGTATGTAATATGTACACAAAAATACAAAACTGTACACATACACGAGCTCGAGCGAGTGTGCTTCTTTTTAACGTAACCCAACACTATCTATGGGAAATGTATTCCTGACTAACTTCGGTCCTTATAGTCCGATCCTTATGAAATTTTCAGAGCTTAACATTGGCATACTATTGTTTCCATATACTAAAGCTCAAGACTATAGCTCGAGTTATACAAAAAGTGTTATACGAGAACCAATTTGTCAAGATTGATTTATTTATTTCCTATTCACCTAATTTTTCAGCTATGCTTTAAAAAACCTATAGACAGACGTGCGGAAATGACAGCTCGGCTCCCATTGCTAACCTGATTGTAATTAAATTTCCATACTTACGTTTAGCTGCGTGACTGCATCCGCTGGCTTGGAGCCGGAGGAGGCGGAACTGGAAGTGGAGCTGGAGCCGGAGCTGGAGCTGCTGCCGCTGGAGGCGCTAACATTGGGACGTGCCTCGATGCTGGTCAGCAAAATGCAAATGCCGCAGAGCAGCAGCAACAGTTGCCGCTGCCAGCTGCCGCCCGGACTGAATCTATGCCGTTTGCTCGGTGGAGATTGGGTTGTTGCGGCCAAACGGAGCACGCTTTGATTGGGACTCATTGGACTAGCCGGCTGACAAGCTGTTGCCACGGGCAATTGTAGGGAACTTGAACTGGAGCTGGAACTGGAGCGGGAGCGGGAGCTGGTCGGGCAGCTGCTCCAGCAGGCGCGCCGCGCGAGGTTCATTTGTTGCTGCAGCGCCGGCGTCGCGCTGTCGTAATCCTTTTCCGTCCGGCTGCTCATGCTCCGGCCTTTTGTTGACTTATGTTGTTTATATTAGCTGCGACTGCGACTCGGTACACGGCTGAGTTATTGATTTTAGCGTGCATAATATACACCAGGTGCGATTGTGTGTATCTTCGTTTACTTTGTGTGTTGTCTTTTGCTGTCCGTATTTGAGCACAATTTGCCGGGCGTCTGTAAGTAGAAAATTCAACAAAACATTAAACGGGCTTTGCCAAAGAACAACTACATAGAGCACAATAATATCTAGTCATTAAATTGAGGCGTCAAATTGGGTTTGGCCAAAAGCAAAGAATTCCCCGAAAGAATTGACGCACTTGCTGCCACGAGAAGGCACGTAATTACGGAGAAATAAAGGAATATGAATCCTGCGAAATAAATGTGGCTAACAAGCAGCAAATCGAATATGCAGAAAGTAATTGGAATTCTGACAAATACAGCTCTTGGAAATTCTACGAAGCACCCAAGTAAACACGCTGGAAGAACTTAATAGGAAATGGTATCTTTAAATAGATACAAAAGTTGTCAACAAGGTCGCAATTTCTTGGATTTGTTTCAGTATCCTTTTCTCAACAACAATTACTTTTTATGTGGAAAATCTTAAGTGCAAAACTTAATTTAATAAGTTGTGCACTTTTATTGAGAACTTGAAAACGCAAACACTTGTATGATGTCAAACAAAAGTTATGAAAATTTAAAACATATTTCAGATGGAAATTTGTAAGCAGCAAACGAAATAAATTTTAGTGGAAGATATTAAAAGTTAATACGTCTTCCCTCTCCAACAGCAAAGGCTTATCTGTCAGCTGAAATCGAGGGGAATAACTTTAAAGACCCTCCCAAAAGTTTTACCCAGCTTAAACTTATCTCACAGGATCTTCTCTCAATATTCCTCTATTCAATTCTCTGCTCACAATGAGCTGTTTAACGTTTCCAGCCTAAGCTATCCAAGACCAAAGGCTTACCTGCCAGCAGAAATCGAGAAGAAGGACTTCTAACTCCCTCCCAAAATTGTTACCCAGCTCAAATGTATCTTACAGGTTCCTTTCTCAATATTCGTATATTCCATACTCTGAGGTTTCCAACCTAACCTATCCTAATCGAACGCCCGATAAGCAGTCCGTAGCAAGCGACCGACCTGCGGCAATAACCAACGGAAACTGGTTAAGACCGAGTTAGTTCACTTAGCATGAAAACTCGCACATTAAAAACGCAGCTGTTTATCCAGAGCACAACTAAAAACCAAAAACCTGGCAAACAATAAGAAAATGTGCTAAAATCACGCATAGCCAAAGAATTAAATCTCTCGCTCAGCTCGCGGTTGGGAATTGGAGCCAATATCATTTACGGCCTGAAAGGCCGCAGTAGGATCTTATGATGTGAAGAACTAAGATATCATAGAACTCTGTATGGAGGAATAGATAGATAGATAGATCCCTGTATATCATAGATCTCTATATATCATAGATCTCTGTGTACTATAGATCTCTATATATCATAGTTTTTTGTGTATGAAAACTAAAACTAAGCTGAACAATCTTTCGCCTTTGCTAGTTACGATTTGGAGTGAAGCCTTTGATGATATGTTTTAATATACATTATATATATATATGGTACAACTGTATTTATAAGGCTGCCAAAGAACTATCAAACAAAACTTAAGAACTTTTTGAGACGACCAATCCCATAGAAAGTTCTTGCAACTGTCTTTCTCAAAACAAAAAAAAATAAAAACTTAAGAAGGGTATTATTTTTTTTGTTGGTATTATCATTATAATTAGCATAATTATTTAAATAATATTGGCTGTTTTTTTATATTATCATAGAGGTTTCTTGGATTGTCAGTTTCTAGCAGAAAATGTTATCCAAAATTTAGCTAAGCTGAAGGCTGAAAGTGTTACTTAAATATGCACTGAGTATTTTTTCCTGGAAAATTGAATGAGAAGCTAATTTCTTAGGTTAGAAACTGAAGAATAGAAACTTAACACGCAAACATTCAAAGTTATATGAGTTAACATTTGGTTAGCTCTCTTGTCTTAGCTCGATTGTTGTCTTCTTTAAGTTGCATTGCTTCTTAAAATTCTCAAGCAGTTTAAGCCCTAACCTTAACCCTAATCTCAACCTTCAGGAAGGGTTTCTTTGGGTAAATCTTTTCCATTTGATGAGCAAAGTAAGGTAATACAATATCTTAAAGATTAATAAATACTTTTTCAGTTTTAAACGACCTGCTTCGATAAATGATCTTGCCTTTGTGCTAGCCCGAATTGGAGCCCAATTTTTACTACACACCTCTCGTTTAGTTAATTTCCACTGTTAATTGGCGATCAATTTAAACGTTAAACAGCTCGTTGGAATTTTGGGCAGCTTTACTTTTAGATCGTTTAATCGATCGTTAAATATTGAGACTGTGAGTTATTTGAACTTTTAACTGGATAGATCCAGTGCACTTAGCGCCATGCTAAATAAGATACCACGTGCTAATTGCATTTAAAATAAGAGCTAAATAAACAGCCAGATGTCTTTGCTTTACCTTTCCTTTTTTTGTGTTCTTTTTTTCGGTGGGCTATCAGCGCCAAAGATAAGAGAACATTTTAATTGGGCGCAAAAGCCGCAAAGTAGCTGCTGACAGCAATAACAATTGTTACAGCCCGCTCTCATTACAGACGCGTCTATCTATAAAGTCGACGCAGAAGATAAAGCGTCCGAGCATCGTACGATTATTATACTAGATGCCATGGGTAAAAATCATCTTGTTGCAGTCAAGTGCAATGTCGATCAATTGGGCGACAGCCTTCAGATCGGCGCGTTTTCCCATTTTTCCAATAACTATGCAATTTCCATCAATTGAAAACGGAATTCACTTACATATTATTCTTATTATTATTTCGCAAGCGTTGACCCTCAATAATGATTTATTATTGTCGCCTCATGCTGTTCTATCATTATACCCTTGCAGAGGGTAGACAGACATTGAAGAAGACATTTGCGAGCCAAAGTATTTATATTCCTGATAGATCATTGCTTAGGGTCTAGGTACTACATACATATATAATATATTCAAGTCGGCGAACCGGTTCTTAATTATATCATACTACAGTTAACATGGGAAACTATGGGACTTTAAACTTTAAATATAAGTATATTAAAAATGCAGAACGGGTCTATCATTATATTCGTAACTCCTCCTATTTTATGAATAACGATAAATATCGATTTAGAGACAGAGTTTCTTGAGCATAACTCGAAGATAATATGGGATAGATACAGCAAACTTGATATATTCGATCTCGCTTACTATCTACAGATGAAAAATATTTCACTTTTTAGATACCTTTCCCATTACTTCCTAAAAATGTATAAAATAGGTCTTTAGAGATATAGTCTTGGACTTTAGTATTTACGCACATTTGTAGGCCATATTTATGCCCTGAAACTTTCATGAATATCGGACAATAAATACAGAAGTTAATAAAGGATGCAGTTCCTATCCAAAGTCTGTAGCTAAAGGAGGAAGAGGCACAGCTGCGTGCGTGCTTGTGTATGTGTTAATGTGTGTATATATGTATAGAGGATGTATTGAGTGCTTGTTTAGAGCATCTCCCAGTCGGGCACTCCCGACTAGTCGGGCCCTCTCACTTGTTTTAAACGCCAGTCGCGTGCGTCAAAGTCCATTAACTACCTTTATTATCTAGCCACAATTGTCTTCTAAATTGATTTACCCCCTAACCCAATTCAGTGGGTCTCTCAGTGGGCCAAAGTGCTTATTAAATGAACAAGCGACAGGCAGTCGGCAGACAGGTAAACATCAACTAAAAACATTTTCAAGTTCAGTGGCTTCGATATGAAATAGTTAACCAAGCACTTAACCGGATTTAACCGGCAGTCAAAAGCGTTAAGCAGCTTATGATTATATTTATAAGAGCACTTGAACTGAACTACTTGAACCCAGCCACTGTTTGTTTGAAACATAGAAAATTAAATAAGTTAGAGTGCTCGAGTAGGGAGTGGCCAAATAGGGGAGACCCTAAGCCCAGCGCCGAGCTGTCATTGCAAGCATTCCAACCTTCTTCTATACATGCATGCATGCATGCATACATACATACACACATACATACATACATCTACACACATACATACATACATACATACATACAGTCATATAAGTATACATACATACATACATACATACATTCATACATACATACATTCATACATTCATACATACATACATTCATACATACATACATACATACATACATACATACATACATACATACATACATACATACATACATACATACATACATACAGTCATATAAGTATACATACATACATACATACATACATTCATACATGCATACATTCATACATTCATACACACATACATACATACATACATACATACAGTCATATAAGTATACATACATACATACATACATACATACATACATACATACATGCATACATGCATACATGCATACATACATACACACATACATACCCACATACATACATACATACATACCCACATACATACATACATACATACATACATACATACATACATACATACATACCCACATACCTACATACCTACGCCTCCTCCTAGACATAGGTCAAAGTTTCCGAGCCCCATTACTCGGTCAAAACTCAACCGATTTTCAAGAGAATTTATTTTATATGGAAAAACGACTTAGTTTGTAGTCCTGATCAAATACGAATATATTTTAGAGGGCGATACATTCTGATGTCTACATATATTTTTAGTAGAATATTAAACCCTTCGCACACATTTCCAAAAGGTTCAGGGATTATCCAACAATTAATCGACACAACGAAAAATGCTGGGAACTTCATTTTCCATGTGATTTTCATGATGTGTTCTTTTATAGCACACCATAAAAATTGACTGCTGTCATCAACAATTTATGAATTATGGTCTGTGACTTTCAGTCCGCATCAAGCACCTGGGGCAATGCTTTAACGCACAATCGAATTGACGTATCCGTTCAGTCGTTAACTATTTACTTTGGCAGCTGATTGTCTCGTTTTGTTTTTATTTTTATATAAAATGCAAATAAGTACAGGATTTTGTCGTCTATAGCCGGAGGCCACGCGTCCAGACTGCGTCAGTTGTTGTCAAATTCATATCCAAGTTCAAGTTGAAATAACAA